TTGGGATCACCTCATGAGGGTTAAGCTTGATGGTTTAACAGTGCTTGTACCCACGTCAACTGCTTGCCTTGTTTCTTTGAAACCCTTATGAAGACCACCGCCTAGCTCCACCGGATTAGACTGCTGTTTTGGCAAGAAAGGTTTTAGCTTTCTGATACTTTTTGAAGGTCTTTTCCTAGATTTTGCATTGGTCTTATCCAGAACATTACCGGAGGACACTGCTACAAAGGAGCTAGGTCCATAAACCGTCGCATTGTTCTGATAAGGCTGCGACAAGGCAAGAAAACTGCCAGACCCCACGGCAGAACAAGAAGAATCATCATTGGATAACCACAATCTGTCAGACTCCCCTTTGGATGAAAACGCAGGAAGGATTGGAGCACCAGAGGCTTCACTAGAGTGATTTCCAACAGAAGGGACCATCTCATAATTGAAAACAACTCCTTTGTCTTTAGATAAATCTTGGTGAAAGATTGGTAAAGGTTCCAATCTGAGAATAGTCTTTTGAGAGAAAGGATCTTTTTCAACTTCACCAACGAAGACCTTAACTTTATCAATTCTTAGTAGCTTTTCCTCTTCACTAGAAACTCTTAGATACTGACTCATACCTTCTAGCACCTCAAGCGCAATTCTAGGTCTTCCTGTCGCAGGATCAATCCCGACCTGATTTTCATTCAACACACCAAACAGAGGATCTGTTGTCTTCAAAACCGGACTAGGTTTTGGTCTTGTAATTGGAGCACCTGCTCTCCTTGCATCTGTAGCCTCTTGCCTTTTCTTTAATAACAGAGGGCAGGAATCCTTCTCGTGAGTCATCCTCTGACACTCGTAACACCTTTTTTGAACTCTTTCGTATTCAAAGTGGACAGTGGCTGTACCACCTTTTGGCAGATTCACTATCTTTGTTCTTCTAAGAGGCCGAGAAACATCGAAGATGATCTTTACTCTAACGAAGTCTTGCAGCTGCGGCTTCGTAGTATCAAAAGCTACCTCCTTTACTTGGCCAATCTGATCTCCTAGAAGAGTGAGAGCTTTTTCAGTGTAGAAATTAATTGGCAAATTCCACAATTGGATCCACATCGGAGTGAACTGAAGGTAGTTGTCTGGTGGAAATTCATACCAACGATCCACCACAATAGTCCATTCGTTAAAGGTGTGAAACACCCTTTTCAAGTACTTCGACCAAATCGTGCTCCGAATTGACCAAAAAAACTGGAAGCGTTCTTTTGAAAGAGCAACCCCTCTAAACCTTCCAATCTTCTGCCATTTTCGAGGCATGGTCCGAATCAGATGATCCATCGGTTGACAGTCAGGATTGAGAGTCCGACCAACTAGACTCAAGACATTTCTTTCACAAGACGAATACTCCGGTAAATTTGGCATGTCGAAAGGAACATCCTCTTCCTCGAGAGACATCGCCATCATTGCTTTATCCATAGCAGAAGACATGACTTTGCAAAGAAAAATTTTTCTGGATCTGAGAAAATGAAATCAAGCCGATAGATTCAACGACCCACCCGTGATGGATCTGAACCCAAACAAAGACAAATGAAGCTGCAAACACCACAAACTTACAACCAGAAACAGAACGCAGCTTCAACACGAGAGGAACCACAACGAATTGTAACCACTGGATCTGAGAGACTTAGGGCGAGCCGACAAACTTGAAGAACCTATCAGAGATGAAACCCGACCGCCACAGGAGAAACATGAAAGCAGTGGCTCCACAAATTTCAAGTTGAGACAACACGAATCTTGCAAAACGATAGAACCCAAATAAGAACCCTAGCAGCTTCGAAGATAAACAACAGAGAAAGGACGTAATAACACGAAAACAGGGTGGAATCGACTAAAGGGAGTGTGTTTTACTCCGGTCAAATCTCTCTTTTATCACTAGTCAAAGACACTAGTATAAAAAGAGGATCTTAAGAGAAAATGAGATTTTTCACTTATATTCTAACCATAAAATACTTTCTTAAAGTAAAAAAGACATGATTGATTTAATATACAAATCTACTTTCCATTACTAACACTTTTTCACAATCAATTTTCGGAATATAATGAATTTCATTCGATTATTACAAAAGATGGGACACAATTAGTGGTTTTCGATTCACCTCTTATTACAGTAACCTTTCTCGTTTTGCCATCACTTCCGAAAAACAAAACTACATCGTTGGCTACATGTTGAAGTCAGATCTCACCGAAATTAGGTTTCGATATGGAGTGATCTACCATGTTCTTCACAAAGTATCTATTCACATCTCTAATCAATTAAGGGATTTGCATATTGGGGAAGATAATCCCAGGGAATCAAAAATCAAAGAATAAGATGAAACGAAGTATTTGTGATTGATTATTGATTTGGGAAATTTTTCAAGTGATAATAGTATTGATAATCAATGATAATCAAGCTAGAACATCGGCAAATAGATTTGGAAATCGAATCTGCGTTTCAGATTTAACAGAGAAATCTATTTCAATATCATTACCTCTCCGATGGAAGGAAGCTTAGGGGTGAAGAACTATACTGGATTGGAATCAGACATGTTCCATCAAGGTTTTCGATAACACCTTGATGGAACATGTTAGACATGTTCATGTATAACGTTGGTTTTCTCTCCAAATGACAAACTCCATCGTTCCATTTCCCCAGCCAAATGGGCTTTTACTACCAAATATAGGCTTCTTACATTGATTGATTTATATTCTAACATGCCTATGAGGCCTCTAAATTTTTGAGCCCATTAAAAAACTTGTAATGCTTAGCAAAATCTAGCAGTCTTTTTTTTTTTTTTTTTTTTTTTTTTTTTTTGAAAACGAAATCTAGCGGTCTCTAAATCATAGTAATCGTAAACTAAATAGTATACTATATATATATATATACATTTTTATTTAAAAAAAATAAGTTTAATATATATAGATAACTTTGGGTTGGCTGATTTTATAGACATAAACTAATTGTATTCTCGACTTCCCCCTCCCCCCCCCAATACTTTTTGCTTCTGAAAAATACCATCATAAACTAAGTTAATTCTCAAATATTGATTTGTAAATGTATATATTTTGCATGTTTTGGTTGTATTTCATGGCATTTCAGACTTGGTCATCCATTTTTACCGGTTCTTAAAGCTGTTGTTTCCCAATTTTCTTTATCTCTTTCAAATTCCTAGCAAAAACAACTGTCGTGTTTCGACTGTTTCATCAATAAAAATCATAAATTACCATTTCACTCAAACACAATAACCTCTACCAAACCTTTTCAATATATTTATAACGATGTTTGGATATCTCCGATAAAATTCTGAAGATTATTTGGTTATTGTTGATCACTTTAGTAGATATACATGGCTATGTCAATTGAAACAAAAAAAACCAAGTAAAAGAGGTGTTCGTTGCATTTAAAGAGTTTGTGGAGACCTAGTTCCAGAGTCGGATTCTCACCTAATATTTGGATAATGGGGGCGAATTTATTACATTGCAGTCGTACTTGACGATATGTGGCATCTCTCATCTTACCACGCCACCAAATACGCCAGAACATAATAGCATCTCCGAGAGAAAACATGGTCATATTGTGGAAACGGGTCTCACCCTCTCACACATGCATCGGTTCCCAAGGCATATTGGCCTTATGCATTTGTTATTGCGGTGTATTTGACCAATAGAAAAACGACCAAGGTATTACGTGGCATGTCTCCTAGTGCCAAGTTGTTCAATCAACCACCAAACTATATGAAGCTCCGCGTGTTTGGCTGCGTATGCTATCAATGGTTGCGACCATATCGAACAGTCACACCATGTGTTTTTGTTGGGTACTCGTTAATGCAAAGTGCCTATTTATGCTTAGATATTCGAAGCAGACGGCTTTACACTTCCTGACATGTTCAATTTGTGGAAACGAGTTTTCCTTTCAGCTTACAAGCTCCGTGAACCAAATCACTTCAAGAGGAACCAATCTGTTTCTCTCCAAGTCTATCTCAAGTGCTGCCCGTGCCTACTTACACAGGTCATTCACAGTCGCCTCCGTGCTCGGTTCTTCAGCCTTCGTCGCCTGCTTAACCACTGTCATCTGCGTCGTTGGTTCCTCCTTCATTATCAACCCTGTCATCTCATACTCCTTTGTCACATGCAGAATCGTCTCCTCCGACGACACTTATGTCACATTCACCATCCTCAGCCTCACCTCTAATATTGGAACATGGCTCATTTCACTTAAACCAAACAAACTTAAGCACAAGCCCACAAATACCAGATCCAAACCCAAACAATTTCTCCATCATCATCAAACCTAATTACTCCACATTCCAAAAATTCTAACCACACAGAACCCTCATTCACAGGTTTACTGTTACCTGTAAATCCCAATCTACCTCCACTATAGCAAAATAACCATTCTATGAAAATACTGTTGAAGGATAATCAAATCTCGTATCATATCACATTTACATAAGTTAGTTATTTGTTCAAGAGACACAAGTTGTTTTGTTTTACAGTTGTGTCTTTAGATCAAAGAGTCATGCCTTTTTATTATTACACAAACACAACGTTTCGTTTCATATAAGTATAGATCGAGTCTTTGTCTTTTAAACACAACAGAGTGTAATACAATCAAGTTTTCAGATCAATAAAGTCAATTACATTCATACTCTGTTTTTCTCTTTCACTATCGTAAACACAAAACTCAATTATCCAACATGGTATCAGAGCTATTCGATTGAGAGAGGACAAGAGTAAAACACAAAAAAAAAAAAAGAAGAAAGGCGAAGAATAACCGCAACAGATCGCATCTGTCAAAGGCAATAAGCCGAGACAATGCAAGGCTCTTCACACCAAGTGATCGGCTCTTCACACCAAGTGATCCCGATCTTTAACGGAGAGAAGTATGACTTCTGGAGCATCAAGATGTCGACCATCCTTAGGACAAGGAAACTTTGGTCAGTGGTCGAGGGAGGCGTACCGCCTGAACCGGTACAAGGAGAAGAAACCCCTGCATCATTAAGAGCAGTAGCCGT